CTATAATCCCAGCTGCTCAGGAGGCTGAGGCAGGAGAATCACTTGAACCTGGGAGGCGAAAGTAGCAGTGAGCCAAGATTATGCCATTGCACTCCAGCCTGGACAACAAGAGTGAAACTTGTCTCGAAAAAAAAGAAAAAACTGGTTCTGAGTAAGAAGTCTGCAGGAGGTTCATTTAACTATTTAAAAGGTTTTATTTCATTTGAAATGGCTCTTGACTTCCTAAAATAGTTATCACCTTATTTTTTAAATTCTTAAAGTTTCTTCTAAGTCCCATAGTAGACTTTTCTCTCCACATAAGCAATTTGCATCAGCCAGTCGCTAGATGGGCCATAGTGTTGATCTACACTGACCATGTCAGCAGGGATGTGCCAGGATGCAGCAGTGGGAGAGGGACACCTGCATGCCCAAAATAAGGGGATGAGTCATCAGCATAAAACTTAAAAATGACAATAAAGCGAACTAAGAGTGGGTCTTAATCACCAAGAACTGGTAATTCTAATATTGACAATGATGAAATATTCCTCCCCACAAAATCTTTTGTTGGTCTAAGTTCTAAACAATTGCTGCATTTACTGCTGTTTTTCTAAATGTTATTGAGATATAATTAACATACCACACAACTCATCTATTTAAAGTATACAAGTTGTTTTTAGTATAATCACAGAACTGTACAACAATGACCACAATCAATCTTAGAATATTTTCATCACCCTAAAAAGAAACCTCATACCTATTAATAGCCAGTTCCCATTCCCCCACCTCCCCACCTACTCCCCCAGCCCTAAGAAACCACAAATCTACTTCCTATCTTTATAGATTTGTCTATGCTGGACACTTCATATGAATGGACTCATACAATATCTGGCTTTTTGTTTCTGGCTTCTTAACAGTGTTTTCAAGGGTCATCCATGTTAAAGCATGTGTTGGTACTTAAGTCCTTTTTATTGCCTGATAATATTCTATTCTATGGACATACCACAGTTTATCCATTCATCAGTTGATGGGCATTTGTGTTGTTTCCACTTTTTGGCTGTTGTGAACAATGGTGCTATGAACATTTGGGTACAAACTTGTATGCAGATGTATGTTTTTATTCATTTAAGGTCTGTATATGTCTAGGACTGGAATTACAGGATCATAGGGTAACACTGTGGCACTGTATTGACATTTTGAGGGACTATGAGTTTTAATAATCTGTATGCAAATATATTTGGTATACTAGTACACTTTTATTATTTATCCTTTAATAAACATGGATTAGTAGATTTTCATTCCTTGTTTTTTAATAAATATTTTTTCAATATGGATTTTACATGGATAACTCCTACTTATAGTGACATCCATGACCAGGTAACACAAGGGTGTTACAAGGATGTTACTCTTAATTGAGTCCCAAGCTATGTTCACGTAACACATGGACTCAGTTAAGTGTTCATTTAACAATTAGGTCATACTGATTTAAGTAGTTTGACCTTGTTTCAGGTGCAGTGTGTGTTTCTAGCTCCTGCGGTACTGTGTATTCCTGCATTCAGTAGATGTGAAATAAACAAAAATAGCACAGTAAATACAGAGAGAATCAGAACTTAAGTCATTATATGACCACTTGAGGTTTTTTTGTTTTGTTTTGTTTTTCACTTGAGGTTTTTGTGTCTTAAAACAGTGACATAGGGTGCAAACTTCAAAATATGATATTTTTGTTTTGTAAGTACAAATTTTAGTTCATAAGTGAAATATTTTACTGAATTTGAATATCTTTAAAGTAGAATTCTATTTTTTATTGAAGCTCAGAATTCAAAGCTAAAAACATAATTTTATTCAAGTTAAGCTTGAAAAGAATTTTAATTTTAAAACTAAAAAAATCAGAAAATAGCAGGGATTGCTGTTATTGCATTATACACTTATTACTGAGCATAAATCCATTCTGTAGAGGAGAGTAGCATTAAAAATCACTTGTTCCAGATGTCAGATATGCTAGGCCTGCCACTGTGTATGAGCTTGTACAAGATGACCAAGTTATTTAGGAAATATTTCTTGGATTGAGTAAGCTTAAATTGACAGAAGAAAATGGAAACAGATTGGCAGTGTGGAAGGAATTCCTGACTAAGTTATATGTTTAGGGAGCAGTTCAGAGTTATGAATTACTTGGGTATATCAAGACTGAATAAGAAGTGGAAATTTGGGGAATTTGTATAAGAGGGTAAACCTGGGCCTGCGTCTGGAGTAGGAAGCAATTTGAGATTCTCAAATAAGACAGCAACTTTGGTGGGGGAGAGCTTGAGCTTCATCATTTTGGCAGCAACACACAGCATGGGTGGGAACAACAGAAGACCCCAGTGAAAGGCAAGTTATAAGGTTGGTATGGAATATCAGGCGTTAGCTAATGACATTCTCCTTGGGGATAGCAGTTACAGGAATGGAGAAGGAACAAATCAAAGAGATCTTATAAACAACATTGTAAAGATGTCTATTTTCCCCTAAGTTGACCATAAGTTTGATGCAATTCTTATCTAAATCCCAGCAAGGTTTTTTTTTTTTTTTGTAGATATCAATAAGCTTATTCTAGAATGTATATGGAAAGGCCCTAAAATAGCTAGAACAATCTTGAAAAAGAAAGATAAAGTGGGAAGAATCACTCTACGCAGTATTAAGGCCTCGTATATAACTATAGTATAAAGGTGGTGTCCTATTAGCAGATGGACACATAGATCAATGTAACAGAATGGAGAATACCCACCCTCCATAATCCTGGACCAACCCGCACAAGTACAGCCAACCAACTTTTAACAAAGTTGCAGAAACGATGCAATGGATGAAGAAGAGCATTTCCAAAAAATAGTGCTGGAGCAACCAGACATTCCTAGATCAAAAAAGAAAATGAACCTTAATGTAGACTTTATACCTTATATAAAAGTTAGCTCAAAAGAGATCACAGACTTAAATATAAAATGCAAAACTATAAAACTCTTAGAAAAAAAAAATTAGAAAAATCCTTGGAATATGAGGCCAGGCAAAGAGTTCTTACACTTGACACCAAAAGCATAACCCACAATGGGAAAAAATTGATAAATTGGACCTCATCAACGTTATAAACGCACTCTGCAAAAGACTTTGTTAAGAAGTGAAGCAATAAGATAGCAAGAGGAAGAAAATATGTGCAGACTGCACACCCAACAAAGGACTAGTATATGGAATATATTAAAAAACGTTCAAACCTCAACAGTAAAAAACTAACCCAATTAGAAAATATACAAGAGACAAAGGCAGACATTGCATCAAAAAAGATATACAAATGGTAAGCATATGAAAAGATGTTCATCATTATTAGCTACTAGGGAAAGGCATATTAAAACCACAATGAGATACAGGTTATGTGGTCGTTTCTGATTTGGCTGGACCACACATTTATGGTACATATGAAGGGTCTAGTGTCTAGAAATTAATAATTTATCCAGTAAAAGAGCTTAGCTGATGCCAATGGCTCTCTTAAAGTCACTTGTTCCCTTCTCATTTTGTCATATAAATGAAGTGTTCTAATTGTATTCCCAAATCTGAAGATCCACAAAGGCCTCCAGAGGTAGCTCTCCAAAATGTCACATCTAAGTCTAGCAAGATTTAGTGACCAATTACATATAGGAGTTACTCAAGTGTTTATGAAAATTAGCACCCTTTGACCTTATCAACAGTCCCAGCAGCTATGTGGGGCAAAGCCTGGGCCACTTGCCAGCTGTGTGATGTGACAAGACACGTATTTCTTTGAGATTCAGTTTCCTCCTCTTAAAATGAGAATGGCAGTTTTTCCCTTACAAGGTCTTGTGAGGATTAGATCAAACACCATACGTATGATGTATCGAGCCTAGTGCTCAGTGTGGTTGTGGGTGCTGTGTCCGTACCCAAGCCAATGCTGTAGTCTCCAGGAAGGATTTAAGTGAGTCTCTTTCTGGAGTGCTTTAATTTTGTTGACCATGTGGCTGAGAATGTCTTTAAAAAATCCCAAATTTATTATTCTGCCTTGCTCTTCTCTTACACATGCTAATGTTTGTCTGAATACATATGTTGTTTTTTTCAAAACACAAGATCACTTTAGCTATACCCAGCTTCTTCCCATGGTCACTCAGCTGGTCAAGGAGCTGAGCAAATGTCTGCATGAGCTTTCCTTCAGTGTGTGCATTAGCATGGGAAATATCATGGGATTTTTTTCTCTCACCTGGCAGAGCCTATACAGAGAAGGTACCCATAAACATTTGCTGAATGAAAAAAAATGAATGAGTCTTGATGCTATAGAGGAACATGAAGTTGGGAGTGAGGAGTCCACATATATTCTCTTAGCCAGGAAGATATTTGGGGACAAGGACAGGCAGGGCACATAGTTTAGATGTTAGATGTTCATAAAGGGGTGGGGAGGAGAGGGTGCATCCAACTGTGGAAGCCTGGAAAAGCTGCAGTAAGGACATGACATTCATGGTTGTCTTAAGCTGGTGTTGCTGTTGCTGATGGTAATGATAATAGCAAACTGGTATGTAACACTTTTTACGTCAGGCACTGTCCTAAGTGCTTTCCACAGGTTAACTCGTTTAATCTGCTCAGCAACTCTGAGAGAGAGTTACTATTATTCCCCTAATTTGACAGATGGGGAAGCTAAGGCACCAAGAGGGTAAGAAATTTGCTCAAGGTCACACAGATTGTAAGAAGAAAATCTCCCCCAAATTAGCATTATGAACTCTTGAAATATGGTTCTAGGGAAGCCAAGGGAGTTCCATCTGCTGTGAGAACAATATGACTCCTATCTTAACATATACCTATAAACAAAGGTAGTTGGACTTCACAGGGCTACTATACTCATGTTGCACACTTTGAATGGTAATACTAACTTGCAGTGAAAAATCCATCACTGATGTTATGTAACAACCAAAAATCTGTGTGTAAGACATTCCTGCTACCTCTCAGGGGCCTCGTAAACATCCTCTCACTTTTCTTTTCTTTTCTTTTCTTTTCTTTTTTTTAATATGGAATGCTTCATGCATTTTCATGTCATCCTTTCCCAGGGGCCATGATAATCTTCTCTGTATGGCTCCAATTTTAGTATATGTGCTGCCCAAGTGAGCATGTCTCTCACTTTCTGACATGAGACTTACAAGTTCTGGGCACTCCTAGAATGTTGATCAAAATCATAGCAGACCACAGGTCACAGCTTGCACCTAAGCTGGTCCTCACCACTTTTTTGTTAAGACCATGGTTGTTTTACTTTTTCATATTCATGGCCACATTCCTCAATTAGAGTCCCTCTCTGTTTCACAACCTGCTTCCTGTGGCTCTGTGTGTGTGTGTTTGTATAACAGAATGTGTGCTGTGGCTGTATGAGCTTTGAAAGAGCAGTTGTAACCTAGGCCGCTCAATGCTTTTTTCTTAATGAGCCCTGCATCCTCATCCAGCTCTAGCTTTGCTTTTAGCAATGCTTTGCTAAAAACAGACTGAGGTCATTCATGTGTAAATGGAGACACACCAAGAAAAAAATTAATACCAAATGTACAGCAAGATCAAAAGAAAAAATAAATTTCTCAATGGAATACTCAGAGCTATGCAGAGACCATTGGTTACTGCTGCTTCACATAAAATTGAAAGTCAGAGCATGTTTCAGGAAGGTTCTTAAAAAGGCTGGGACCAACCAGAGGCTGTGATTTGAGAATCCCACAAGGATGACTGCCCCTAAAACTGGCTGAATCCTGAATTACACAGGGAATATGTACGCACAAAAACTGTAATAGATGCCAAAAAAGAATAACTAAGAGTCTCAAGGCCTATGGAACTCAGGGCCTACAAACAAAACGTTTTCATTTAAAGACAAATACAATGTTATGGTGAAATTAGCATCCATAAACTCTTTGATCACAAATTATAATTTGATGAATTTTCAAAATCAAAAATATGTAAACATGTCAGAACAAATCATTCTCCTGATTATCATTGACAGGCGAATCTACAGAAATAAATGTAGACCTTAGGTCCAACACATTCATTTGTACATTCGATCATGCATTCATCCAGGGAGTATCTATTGAGCACCTAGTAGGTGCCAGGGTGAACTCTGAAAAAAAAAAGAGCAGTATAGGAGGCTGGTTAAGAGTGGGGTTGGAAGTCAGAGAGACCAGGCTTAAATACTTGCTCCACCACTTACAAACTGAATGACTGTTCAGCAAGGGAGTAAACCTCCCTCAGCTCCTGATTTCTCAACTGTAAAATGAGGACTATCATATTTGCCTTGCAAGGTTGGATTGGATGAAGTAATATGTATGACAAAGTTATCCCAGTGCCTGGCCCACCATAAATGTTCTGAGGAAAAGGGAGGAGCCAGGGGAGTGGTACGCTAACAATTTATACTTCCTAAACCCAGAGATAACCTGGCATCTTCCTCCTGACTTTTCTAGAAGAGTGCTCCAAAGGTACATTCCCCTGCCCCAGCCCATCCACATATGCATACTGTCAAAAATGTGGCTGGGGCTGGGTGCAGTGGCTCACACCAGGCACGGTGACTTGCACCTATAATCCCAGCACTTTGGGAGGCCAAAGTGGATGGATCACCTGAGGTCAGGAGTTTGAGACCAGCCTGGCTAACATGGTGAAACTCAGTCTCTACCAGAAATACAAAAAATTAGCTGGGCGTGGTGGCAGGCACCTGTAATCCCAGCTACTCAGGAGGCTGAGGCAGGAGCATCGCTTGAACCTGGGAGGTAGGGGTTGCAATGAGCCAAGATCGTGCCACTGCACTCCAACCTGGGTGACAAGAGCGAAAGTCCATCTCAAACAAAAACATGTGGCTGGCTAGTAGCCAAGGAGAAGGCCACTAGGAGTTTCCTGCAGAGGCAGGCTCAGAAGACACGGATGCTGATGGGAAGGGGAAACTGGATGAGGATATCAAGGCTGGCTTCATCCTTGCTCTCCCTTTTCTCCCTGAGGCCAGGTAGGAAACAGCTTCCCCTTATCTCTTTAGGGCGGGGAGTTCAGGGTCACTCCTGGACATCTAGAAACCTCTAACCCAATGGGCAGTCTGGCTCCCTGACACACGGACACCTGCTGCTGCCCACCCTTTCTCAGTTCCTCCTCCTGGTGGAAGAAGCTAAATCATGAGAGGTGTCCCACGAGGAGGACTAAGGTTGGCCCTGGAGGGCAAGTAGGAGTCAGGGGAAGATTTGTGGTTGTGGCCGTGTGAATGTGATACTGAGAGGGAGCGCCGCTGCTGGCTGGGGCCCACAAAGGGTGGAAAAGGAACTCAGAGACAGAGTTGTCACATTCAGCAGGCAAGAATACCAGACCCTGGAGTAAATTTGAATTTCAGATAAACAACAAATCATGTTTTAATCTATGTCCCATACAACACTGGGGATATACTGATATAAAACGTTATTCATTATTTATTTGAAATTCAAATTTAACTGGATGTTCTCTATTTTATCTGTCAACTCTAATCAGAAAGGGAAGGAGGAGAACATCCTCCATTTTCCCTGTGTTTCCATCTGAAACCAGATAGAACACAGTATCTCAACAGTCCGCCCGTTCTGCAAGTCACCCTCATAGGCTGAAGCCTGTAGCCCAGTCTCTTTGAGGAGATATTGAGTCAGAGTCCCCACTGTGCAGAGCGTGGTACTGGGTGCTAGGAATACAGAGGTGTACAACAGCCCCTGACTTAAGGACCCACTCACTAATGGGGGACCAAAACCCAATGGGACAGTAATCGCAATTAAAATAACAATAGCAATTATTAATAGTTATCGAGAGCTTATTGGGCCACTGTTCCAAGCACTTCGTAGATTATTTTATTTATGTTTTTGTTTTGTTTTCTTTTGTTGAGACAGGGTCTCACTCTGTTGCCCAGGCTGGGTACAGTGGCTTGATCATGGCTTACTGCAGCCTGACCTCCCCCCGTCTCAGGTGATCCTCCCATCTCAGCTTCCCGAGCAGCTGAAATCACAGGATGCACCATCACCCTGGCTGATTTTTACCACCCTATGAAGTAGATTGTATTATTAACTTCAGTTTTCAAATACGGAAACTGAACCTTGTAAGGAAGGTAACCAACCATAGTGTTTTTTACCCGAATTGAGATGTGTTTTGTTTATTTTTATTTCTAAGAGAAATTTCACTGCTGGTAGGTTTTTAAAAAAAAAAATTTTAGAGATGCGTTTTTAAGTGAAAGGGAGCACAATCCATAACTACACAGAGCAGCAGGTGTCCTCTGGAGCTGCCCTGGCGTACCGGGATTATGGCATTCTACTCATAGGAGGCATGCATGGTAGAAAGTGGCAATCGGAGGCTTCGAACCCAGGCAGAATGGCTCCAGAACTCATGCCCTTAACCAGGAACAGTAAGAAAGGAGGCTGATCCACAGGCACTTCCTCTCATTGGACGCCAAGTTTCTGGGGATGGATCCTCCTGTTTTGCTTCCCACTGTGTCCTTGGAACCTGGCACCCAGCACCCAGTATCCAAGCATAGAGTGGGTGCCAAAAAGCACTTGATGAGCGAATGAAGCTGGGAAGCCTTTATGGAGATGGTAGGATATGAACAGAGCTTGAATAATGGAGAGGACCTAGGCAGGGACCCCTTTCTCTTCCTGGCTCTATCCCTCTTTCCAGGTGCTTGAGGCAGGATCAGTGAGAGAAGGCTGTTCAGTGAGCTTAGCATGGTACTGCAAACCAAATCACTGGGACATAAAAAGGTGACAACTATTCTCAAAACTAAGTCATGAGGGCTCTGTTAGCCCTGACCCGACTCTTTCACATGGTGCTTACTCAGGTACTCACTGCCTGCCCTCTCCAGTCCAGATCCTATATAGATTTAGAAATCTGTCACATTGCCTGCGTCCTTAACAATTGACTGCCCTGTATTGGGTCCTGTAGCACCAGCAGTACTCTGTCTTCCCGGTGAGCTGACCCCCAGGGAAGTCTCCCCGACTTCCATCTCCTTAACCAGCTCAGGACTGCTTTCCTCTGTGTTCCCACTAGAGGCCCTAGCCTGAGGCCACCCACTCCCAGTGGCTCTGACTGCACCCCCAGAGTCTGCTACTTCCATCTCTTCAGTGAATTTAAGCCTACAACAATCCACTGCAAGCCTATACCCTCTTTAAACAGGAATCATGAGATCTTTAAAACAATAAACAAACCCCTCCTTGCTGAGGATCAGCTACTCACCATTTAAGAAGAGAAAGCAAATTTATAGAAGGGGAGAGACAGCCTCTGACAGCTGGCTCTCCTCTCTCTTTAGAAATATATCATTAAACCCAGTGACTCCTGCCTGACAGTTGTAGAATGAGCAAGGAAGGGCTCTGTGTGACATTTTTTGTTCTACTGACAATTTGACTGCATGTAATGAACTAACTGGACTGTAAACTGAGGTGATGTGTAGTGTCTTATAAGTGCAAGCTACTTCTTTGAATCCCAAAGTCTAGTGCAGTTTTACCTATGGGAGTACAATAAACATAATTAATTTGAGCTGACTGCTAAGGCTGTGTCTAAGCTTAAACAGCCTAAATTACTCCTGACACAAAAGTGCTACTTAGTCTGTGGCAGAAAGAAGCCCAAGTACTTAAGCGCTAATCCTGAAAATCGGAGCGAAAGGAAATGTCAATCACTTTACATATCATTCTGGTCCCCTTGTCTCAGTTTCTTTCCAACTGTAGGGCTTTGTTGCTGTCAAGCTGGGTGACCTTGGATAGGTCCCTAAACTTCCTGGGTTCTTAATTTCCTAGTGCTGAATCTGGCAGGTTCAATAAGATGATCTTACGGTCTCTTCCAACTCTGACATTCCAGGATTCTCTCTGACCAAAAAGTGGAGCGCAGAGATAAAAGTATGGAGTAGATGCTTGGGGAAGGAGAAAATAAACATAGATCTGGGAAGAGACAAAAAGCACCAGAGACTAGAGTATACTTTGTCATCCCTTTAAAGGCTCACTCTGCCCCCACTAAGATGGTGTCATTTATCACATCCTTCAGGGTGTCCAACTGATGCCCATGCACCTGGGCCCAGCCTTTTCTTCCACTCATTCCTCCACGTATGTGCTCTGCTTTGTTCCTGGCACTGCTTAAGGCACAGAGAAATTACTAGACTATAAACTG